AGTCGATTCCTTCCTTTTGTAGTAATCGTTTCGCTATAAGTCTTTCAATGTGTTAGGTTACTTCTCCTTTAGGATTCACCTTCACATTGTAAACCCATTTCACATCAATTGCCTTCTTGCCTTGAGGCAATTCAAGAAGTGTCCAGGTGTTGTTGACTTCGATGGACTCTAACTCCTTATTAATTGCTTTTACCAACTTTCAATCTTTCAATGCCTCGACTGCATTGTCTGGTTTGACATTTGCATAGAAAACATAGTGTGCCAACTCACCTTCTTCATCGACCATATCATTGATGTAATCAGATATTCTTGCAACCTTGCAGGCATGTGTCTTGTTCGTCGAGGTCTGCTTGGGCTTGCTTCACCTCTGACTTCTTCTTGTCGAACTTCTCTTTCGACTTCACTAGCTAGTTGTTCACATAATATTCTCACTGAATCCTTCTAGACATTTTCAATCCAATTCCATTCCTTAAGCTCATCTATGATCACATCCTTGCTGATCATAACTTGCTTGTTCACTGGGTCGAACAACTTGTATCATTCAGTCGAGTGATATCCTATTAGGATCATTTGACTCAACTTGTCATCAATATTTCTTCTCAATTGATATGACATGTGTCTATGTGCAATAGATCCAAACACCTTCAAATGACTTAGGCTAGGCTTGACACCAAACTAACATTCTTCTAGCTTCTTCGTGGGACATCTATTCAATATGTATGTTGTTGTCAACACAACTTCTCCCTATAATTCTTTGGGTAGATGCTTGCCTTTCAACATACTTCTCAACATATTCATGATGGTTCTATTATTCCTTTCTACATTTCCATTCTGCTGTGGAGTGTAGGGTGGCACCACCTCATGCACAATTCTTTCTTTCACACATAATGTATCAAAATCTTTTGACACATACTCTCCACCATCATCAGTCCTCAAAATATTTAGCTTTCGACCATAGGTTTAAATTTGGCAAATACATCGATCACTTCACTTTTGATCTTGATCAGGTAAGTCCATAATTTTCGACTAAAATCATCTATGAACGTGACAAAGTATCCGTTACCTCCAAATCGAGTCCACTTGGATAGGACCACATACATCAGAGTATATGACTTAGAGAATTTTCTTTGACTTGCTTCCTACATCCTTGCTGAAGTTATTCTTGTGTTGTTTCGCCTGAACACATTCTTCACACACTTCACTTGTAATGTCAATTTCTGGTAATCCTGAAACTATATTTCATCTCTTCAATTCTGTTATGTCTTTGAAGTTGAGATGACCAAGTTGATAATGCCATACCTGTTCATCTCTGCTGGCTGCAGTTGCAAGACACTTATGCTCCATCACATTAAGTTCAATCTTGAAGGTTCTATTCTGAGACATATGAGCCTTCAAGATTAACCTTCCTTCTGATTCTAGAACTCTCATCATATTCTCTTCGATCGGAACCTTGTAGTTCTTTTTAATCAATTGCCCTGTACTGAGAAAGTTACTTTTCATGCCTAGTATGTACAACACATTGGAAATTACTGACCTCTTGCCATCTTTCCTCATAATCAGAACATGACTAATACCTTCAGCTGCTAGAGTATTGTCTTTTGAAAATTTCACCATATTCTTCATTGAGGGCTTCTTGTTGACAAACGAATCTTTCCTACCAGTCATGTGTGATGAGCATCCTGAGTCCAAGTACCATTGGTCTTGGAATGTTTCTTCATCTCATGTTGTGACCATCAACAACATCTCTTCTTCTTCATGTTTCACCAGCTTAACATCAGCTTTTTGATTCTTCTTCTTTTCTCGACACTCACTAAATTAGTGACCATACTTCTGACAATTGTAACACTGAATGTGACATTTGTTAGGTTTTTGACCACCACCTCTTCCTCTTCCTGCAGCACCACCTTTTGGGTTGCCTTGGTTCGAGAGTTTTCTTTGATTCGGCCAGTCTTCTTCCTGTTGATTTCGACCAGTTGAATTATTGTAGCCTCATCTGCCTTTGTTTCCATTCCAACTTCATTTTCCTTTCTTTTCTGCAGCTCTTTGAACCATCCTTTGTTCATGAGACTCAAGCGTCCCTTGAAGCTCTTCCTTCGTCAATGCTGACAAGTCTTTTGACTCTTCTACAGCTACTACCGCGTGGTCGAACTTTGGAGCCAATGATCTCAAGATCTTTGCAACAACTATTTTGATGTCAACACTTCTCCACATACCTTGATTTGATTCATAATTTACTAATCCTAGTGAAAAAATCAGTTATGCTTTCACTTTCTTCCATCTGAAGCAATTCATACGTCCTTTTGTGAGTTTGTAACCTCACATCTTTCACCTTCTCTGCGCTTCCAAATGATTTCTCCAAGATTTATCATGCTTCTTTCGCTAATTCTACATCACTAGCCTTTTCAAAGTTATCTGGATCAACACATTGATGGATTATAAAGAGAGATTTATAGTCTTTCTTCTTCAATTCTTTGTATGCAGTCTTTTCTTGATCCGCCGCGTTTTCTGCAAGCGATGTTACTCCTCCCTTCACAAGATCCCAAAGATCCTGATAATTAAAACCCACATTTATCTGTTTGCACCAATTCTCGTAATTATTGTTCTTGAGAATTAGAAGGTTCGTTGGAAAACGCCTGTTTGGATGATTCAGTGCCATCATGATTTTCTTCTCTCGAATCGCAAGCGAAGCTCTATATACCAGATGTTGAAATTAACCTAAAACCTTTTGAGAATTCATAATCAAACTTGATCTCAAGAATGATTATGCGCATCAACTTTAATGAAAAGAAAACGAGAAAGAGAGAATGAATTTTAAACTGCGGAAATCTCTGCCCACAAACTGTGAAAACCTTCTTTATTCACTTTCCAACTGCAAAAAAAACTAGAAACCTTCTTTACTCCCTCTATTTATAGATGAAAAAGCCCAAAAACTCAAAAGCTCAAAATTACTAATTTTGGCCTTAAGTAGAAATTATGTGTCAAGCAACTTGTTTCGACCCTTCGACATATAAGTAACTTGACACACACACATTAAGTTAATTCGACTAATCTTTATTTCTGTCAAACTACACTACTTCAACACAAAGAATTACAAACTCATCATATATTGATTTGCAATTATATTTAATGTTAAAAATGACGTTAGTCTGCAATTATATTTAATGTTAAAAATGTAGTTGGTCCAAAATAAACTTTAGTCACAATAAATTTTAATACTTAATCTCCTTAATTTTTTCAATATCATCCAAATAATTTTAGTCCAATTCATTTAAATTTTTGTAGACATCTTTAGTGTTGGAGATACTATAGACTAGCCAAGAACAACATATATCTTTCAATCCAGAATCATAATAAAAGAAGATGTTATATAAACTTTAAAAGATGAGATTCATTACTATATAATGTACATATAAAAAGTTTTACATTGTTAATTTATCACTATTATTTGTTGGTATTATTTTATTAATAATTAAAATAAAATTTTATAAAACATTTAGTATATAGTCAATGAATTTAATTAATATGCACTGACAGTGTAAAATAATTTTACACTGCCATTTAATAGAAATTTATGAATCTGCCATGGCATATCAATAACTTAAAATTTACAGCGTAATGTGGCGGAATACATGATGGTAATTGATTGACAGTATAAAAAAAATTTATACGGTAAGTGCATATCAATTAAATTTATAGTCAATTTTATGATAAATTTAAAATTTTATTCAATTTTAAATGAAATTTACTACACACACCAGAACTCAACAATTCTTTTTCGCAAATATAAGGTCGTTTTTTTTTTAAAATTGTTTTTTACAATAATATTCAATTGATAAATCTTTTGTTATTTCAAAAAAAAATAAAATTAAGATCATATTTCATATGTTGAAGAATTTGGAAGACTCGAAAGCAACGACTAGTTTAATAATTCAAGCCTAGAAGTGAGAGACATCGCAAATCAAAATTTAAAAAATTAAATGTATAAATCTCATCTCTTATAAATTTAAAATTTTATTTATTTATAAATGAAACTTAACCACTCACCATTAAACCTAACATTTAGAATTTAATAAAGATGTTACTTGAAGAAAAAAAATTAGAATTAAGATTATGTTCTTGGTCGGTCAAACACTCAAATAATTAAGGTTCAATCCATCTTAAACTCACTCACTACGAGATATAAAATCAGATCACACAGTGAGAGTAAGATATAATATATATATATGGTCTCTATTTTTTACTACACTCGTCTTAAATCTTGAATTGATTTGGACGTTAAAGTATTAATTATATTAGTGCATCTCGTGCCACCCTAAAACAGATCGGAGTTATCTTTCAAAATCTTCAATTTTCAACTTCATTAATTCCTAATTTTCGAATAGAACATATTAATATGCTCAAATTTCAATTACTATTATATTAAATTTTTAGCGTCTAAAATATTTATATTTGATTTATTGTGTTAAGAAAACTTTAACCTTTTGCATAATTCTTTATAATATTTTAGACAATTGCAAAAAAATCATTTAAAAATTTAAATTTTAAAAAAATATTAAACATATTATTTTTTACAATAACTAAAACTGTTTGTATAATGTACTAATTAATTTTTGTAACCTGTATATTTACTAACTACTCCTCCATCTCATTAAAATATTTCATTTACACAATTTTCTATGTTTTAAAATAAATATTTTTTAAAATAATAATATAATATTTATTATTATTATATTTTTATTTATTAACTTTCATGTTTTTGAAGTACTCCAATAATTATAATAAACAAAAATATTTAATAAAAAATAATTTTATTATTAAAGTAACACATTTATTTAAAAACCGCACATAGCTTAAATAAATATTTATTATAAAACGGAGCGAGTATACTTTGGTATCACAAAAGCATATACAATTCATCCTTGGTAAAAAAATCGTTTTAAGTTTATAAATACCTTAACCTCATTATAGTCAAGTTCTTCATATCATTCCATAAAAAAAACATGAAGTTTCTCTTTCAAAAGCTTCATTTTCAATCACCTCTTTTCTCTCTTGCTACAATCCTTATCTCACTACATTATGGTAATGCTTTGAATCTACCAAACAATGAAACTGTCCCAGCACTCATTGTGTTTGGTGACTCTATAGTTGACACAGGTAACAACAACTACCTCCACACTATTACCAAGTGCAACTTTCTACCTTATGGCAAAGACTTTGGTGCTGGAAATCAACCAACTGGAAGATTTAGCAATGGCTTAATCCTTTCCGATATAATCGGTACAAAACACTTGTTGATTTGTTCAACCAACATGTATTTTTGTTATGATTGTTAACAAATTCCTATTTTTTCAGCATCAAAATTCGGAGTCAAGAAGCTTTTACCAGCTTCTCTTGATCCAAATTTGCAACTCGAAGATCTCTTAACAGGTGTAAGCTTTGCCTCTGGTGGTTCTGGATATGATCCTCTAACTTCAAAATTAGCGGTAAGTAATTATGTCTTGTACTGAACTTTTGAATAGTTAATTGCATGTTTATTTTCATTTTTTTATACGTTAAACTTAAACCTAATTATAAATTATTTTTCTGTTATGTTAAGTCTGTGATATCGCTATCCGATCAATTGAAAATGTTCAACCAATACAAAAATAAGATAAAAGAAGCGGTTGGAGAAGAGAGAATGAAAATGATAATATCAAAGAGTGTATATATTATTTGCATGGGAAGTAATGACATTGCAAACACTTATGCTCCAACACCATTAAGACAAGCACACTATGATATTCCATCATACACTGATTTATTAGCTTCACATGCCTCAAATTTCTTAAAGGTATGTTGTGTTATACAAACAAAACAATATCATTGATTATTAGAATTTCTATAAACTAAAGTTTAAGAAATTCAAATATGCAGGAACTTTATGATTCAGGAGCTAGAAGGATTGGAGTAGTTGGTATGCCAAGTATAGGGTGTGTGCCCTCACAGAGAACGATTGAAGGAGGAATAGAGAGAGCATGTTCAGATTTTGAAAATCAAGCAGCGAGAATCTTCAACTCCAAACTAGTATCTCAAATGGATGCATTCAGAGATAAATTTCAAGATGCTAAGTTTGTTTATCTTGATATTTACAACTCATTCATGGATGTGGTTCAAAACCCTGCTAAATATGGTAATTAGACAGTCATTCTATATTTATTTTTATGGTTTTTTTATATAATATAGTTGTTTTATTTTTTTGAAAAAATAATTATTTTTTTGAAAAAATAATTATTTTTGTTAGACAAGTAGTTCATTCAACACATGACCTCCTTATCACGCATTAATTTCCACGGTAATTCCCTAGCCACCAAATATTCATATATATCAACTATGAAAGATAATCTCAATATTCAAAATAAATGTTGTAAATCGGATGTCTTGAAATAAAATATAAACGGTTTTTTTTATGATCAAAAAATACATAAGGATTAAAGATAACAAGGTAAAACAACAAGGATTAGTTATAAACGACTATTTTTTCCTTACTCTTAGAATAAGATTACAAGTATATAATAATAACAAAATAACCCCTCTCTATTGAAATTAGGATTTTATCTTTCTATTTTTTCTTATGCCAAGATTGAGAAACTAGCATCCTATTTATAAGAAAAATAGCACACTAACCTAATGGGCTTTTTAACAATTACCCATTACAAGCTAACTTAGGGTAAAAGCTAACTTAAACAATTGGGCTTACAAGTAAGACACAATTCAACATGCTAACAACCCTAACAATATTGACTAATACATGTTAGAACAAACTTCGACTACAACATGCATTACTCCGACAACAGCATGCGAACATACTTCAACCTCATGCTTAATTCCTGTCGAACCAAAAACTACCCTTCGACCATACTAGAGTTCGATCCAACATCTCACAAATCTCCATCTTGGATATAACTCTATAACATCAAGAAACTAGCTTTCTTTATGTAGCTTTATCAACTGCATACAGTGGAAAAACTTGCAACTGGACAACGTCTTGGTGATCATATCAGCAACATGTGAACAGACTTCGATTGCTGCTTTACTATCTTCACCCAAGACTCCACCATAAATTAGGACTCTATTCAGAGACCCATTTATGTACCTTAGAATCCACTTCAATACTTGTCAGTGAGTCTTTCCAGGATTCGTCATGTACCTGCTTACAAGACTTACTGCATATGCTATGTCGGGTCTTATATAGACCATAACATAGATCAAAGAATCCACTATATTAGCATATGAAATGCTATTAATATAAGTTCTTTCAATATCAGTGTTGAGACACTGATTTATACTCAGCTTGAATTGAGGGTTTGCCAGAGTCATAACAGGATTTGAATTCGACATACCATACTTTTCGAGAATCTTCCGTAGGTATGCCTCTTGAGATAAGCATAATTTCGACTGCTTTCTATCTCTTCGGATGTCAATTTTAAGAATCCTGGACACAGCTTCTAGATCCTTCATGTCGAACTTCTTATTGAGTTCAACCTTCACCCTAATTACATCTTCGACATTGTTGCTTGCTATTAGAATATCATCCACATAGAGCAACAAAATAACAAATGATTTACCCTGTCGAAATCTGAAGTAAACACAGCAGTAGAACTGACTTCTGATGAAACTTATGCGTGCCATGAACTTGTCGAATCTCCTATTCCACTTTAGAAGAGATTGTTTCAGTCCATATAAGGATCTATTCAACTTGCACACATAATCTTCCTTCCCTTTTTCGACACACCCTTCAGGTTGCCTCATCAGGATTGTTTCATTTAAATCACCATACAAGAACACAATCTTCACATTCATCTGTTCCAGTTCAAGGTCGAACTGTGTCACTGTGGCAAGCAACATTTGAATGGGTCTGTGCTTCACAACAGGAAAGAACACATCATTGAAGTCGACACCTTTTTTATGAGTGAAACACCTAACAACTAATCTTGTATTGTCTTTCTAAGTGGTTAGTTTTACAACTGGAGAGAATATCTCATGGAAATCAAATCCATGTTATTGAAAGTCCTTAACCAAAGACATGCTTTATACTTGTTGATGCTCCATCTACATTCTCTTTACTTTTAAACACTCACTTACATCCTATTGACTTCATATTTGGTGGTAAAGTTTACAAGACCTATGTACCATTTTTTATACACAACATGCATATAGTAGAAGTTAATTATACTCTTATAACTTACATAACTAACTTCCTAACAATCTTCTAATTTAAGCAACTAATTATTCTCTAATAACAAACTATTGAATCACTAAAATCTAATGTTTACATGGTTGGTTATTAATTGGAGTAAGTTGATCTTTCTATCTTTATATATTTTTTGACAATAAAAATATTATTAAATGGAGGAGAAGTACTCTACCCTTTACAAGCTAATAGCATTCCAACTTATAAGAGTAGATTACATTATAACAAAACAAGAAGAAAAATATATGGAAATGCAATTTAGTTAATGGATACCTAAATTTATTTTCCATCAAATATATGAAAAATATATGAAACAACTCAAATCAAGGTTTATTGGGCCAACCTTTGTATTCACCACAAACCATAAGTTGGTTGACATGGCATTCAAGAGACTCCATTTAGAGGTGTCAAAAAATCATACATGACAAAACTTTAATAATTAGAAGTTCTACTTGCGAAAACAAAAATAAAATTGACTTTTTTTCGTATATAAATTTTTTTCTTCCATAAATTAAAAAATCAAAATTTTCAAAAATAAAAAATCGATTTCTTTTAAATAAAAAATCATTCAATTTGATTAGTGTATTTTCTTATGTTTAACTCAATTTTTCATCGTATTTGGTAATTTGTTTAGGGTTTGAAATATCAGATAGAGGATGTTGTGGAACAGGATTCATAGAAGGGAGCATATTTTGCAACCGTTACACCTCAAACATTTGTTCAAACCCTTCTAAGTATGTATTCTGGGACAGTTACCATCCTACACAAAAGGCTTATAATGTGCTTTCTTCTATCGTCCTTGATCCCAAAATCAAGGACTTTTTCTAAATCATGATTGCCTTCTATGCTCTAACATATTATTATTATTATTATTATCATCATTTTAAAATTGTAATAAAGCATGTAAAATTTAGTTATAGGAATCATTTAGTCTCGTGTTCTCCTTTATGAAAAATAATTGGTGGTTTGTATTTTCAAGTTATATATATTTATGAGTTTGGGGTGTGTGAAATTGTAATAATACTAAGAACAATTTTAATAAACCAAGTGGTTCAATTGAGTAATTAATGAGATTCATCCAATATTATTGAAAAACAAACTAAGACATCTTGCTTTGATCTATAAAATGATTATGTAAGAGTTTGTTTGGGACACATAATAAATAAAGTATGGGTATGACACATAGTTGAATAGTCATAGAATATGATAGTGATGATAGATAATATCACATCATGTGTTTGATGAACACATGATTAGAAAAAGGATATTATTATTGTATCGTTTCATCTATTTATACACTTAATAATGATATAATAAATAAATATTAAATTTAAATTATAAATTATTCTTTTAAAAAACTGCATATATATATATATATATATATATATATATATATATATATATATATATATATATATATATATATATATATATATATATATATATATATATATATATATATATATATATATATATATATATATATATATATATATATATATATATATATATATATATATATATATATATATATATATATTGAAATTAGTTTTAAACAATTTTTTAATTTAATAAATAAATAAACAAACATTATAAATTTGAAAAATTCATAGACAGTATTAAATAACCAGTTTTATTTTTGATTTTTTAGTAAATAAGTTGTTCTATTATAGAAGTTAGATACGTCATATAAAAAAATTGATAAATTATAGGGTTAATAAGAATTTTGAATTGTTATATAGTGGAGCTTTGAAAAACTTTCGTAAAAAAAATTAGATTTTCCCCTCGTTCTCTTGTTTTATTCACTCTTAAAAATCAGTCATCAAAATTAATTATGCGACAAATTTCGACAACATAATTGGCTTTTCTTTAATTCCATGTTGGCCTATTTTATTGATTTTTTTAGGCTTTAAGCTCTTAAAAAAATAAAATACCAAAATTTGGTCTCAAGAAGTTCGAAAGTTCGAACCAAGGATGCTACGCTCAACAACACAAGCATGTAATTTTAATCACTAGACTACGAATTTTGTTTGTTTAAAGGGAAAATTAAACTCATATTTTTTGAGATTTTTTAAAATAACACTCACATCTTCTTTAATTTTAATATATTCATTAACGTCTTCCAAGATCTAATAAAATGATACTGAAATTCTTATAGTTTTTAATGATAGTAATAAAAAAATCATAGGTATATACGACATTTACCCAATAATTTTTTTCTTGTTATTAAAAACTTATGTTGATATATATAAGCTTATGGAGGTTTATGCATATTTTAAAACTAGAGGGGATGTTAGGGTCATTTTAACAGACCTTGAGAGAAGGTGCTTCGAGCCGACCATATTGACTCCCATCCGACAACTCTAAAGAGCCTGAATCCTTCTAGAACCTTCTCGACATGTACAAAGGATCCTAACTCCAAGTACATTTAATGACTCTATGCGAACCACGCTTAACAAATAGATTTTTTTTTATTCTTTATATGCTATATTTAGAGAGATTGCGCCAATTTAGGTACACAATTTTAAATTTAATGTTAATTCTTTATTCTCCCTCATATACAAACTTGAGCGTTAGAGTACTAACCTTGCAAGTCATCCCCCTTTCCTCCGCACTGGAAGTTTAGATTATTCATTACCTTCGATCTTAACTCCATTTTTGGTTCCAATATAGAATAGTGTCACCGTCTACAGGAATCGACTTTTGATTCATGTATTTTCCATGATTTCACGTTCCCTTTCTGATTGGTCAATTTGATGCCTTCTAAATTCATCGAATCAAGAATGATAAAAATCGAACACAAAGATATGTCGCATTCAATCCAATTAAGCTTTGTTTTAACTTTGATTTACTGATTTTTCAAATATTTGATCTATATGCTTCCAAGTAATGGTTGGATCTAAAGATACTCGTTATGTCGCAACAACAAAAAGTCGTTGTCGCAGCT